TCTCTCTATTGTATATAAATTACGACAACAAATGACCAAAAGAATTAATCACTTGACAGAATATTGAAGAGAAAACCCTGGTTTTGTATGGCAAAGTTTGTGAAATATACCAGAAATAATAATATCAATAATATACTAAAACAGTTTCTTTGTGTATCGATCAAATATTAATCATTAGAGTAAAAATGGGAGTGTTTTCCTAATGTACACGATTCTTCATATAAAAAAAACTGGACATCACTTCATCTTAAGTTGGGTATTTTGAAATAATATTTTCCTAGGCCTAACCGTATATACAAAAAAACCTGGCCGCCACAGGATCTGATTTGACTTCTTTCTTATTGTTTTATTTTTTTGGTTTCAGCTCCACCTGCTCCACCACCACCAGGTCCAGCGGCACCAGCTCCTCCTCCACCACCAGGTTCAGCAACACCAGCTCCTCCACCACCACCACCAGCTGCCCCTCCTATGAGATCCGTTTCAGCCCCAGCAGGAGCCCAGACAGAAGGACGAGGGGCTCTACTTAGTTCAATTTCATCATTCAGTAAAGGTGGATTAAAGAAAACAACGACGGTGGATAAAAGTGGTCCAAAAATTTAATTTATTAGTTTAGAATTTCATCACTAACTTAATTGCACTGATATGGGCGGATTCCCTTTTAATAACATTACTAGGGGAGAGTATGTTTTCCGACGGGTTGGCAAGGCCGGAAAAATTCTCTCATACTCTGAGAGAGGAATATGGGGAAGGTAACCCTTTCTTATGGAATTGACTCCTACACCCCCCCCCCTTCCTCCCAGCTGGCCAGATCTCCACAACCTATCAGAAAATAGAGAACACCCCTTAGCATGAATCAGTGGTTTATTGAAGTTTCTGTTTTTGCTACATATGCTTCCAAGTCTCATTTGAGGAATTCACATAGCTCATTTTGTTTGACCTCTTCTAGTTTTAGCAATAGAACAAGAATGGTTCTTATCAAGGGCCTTATTCACGAAAGCTTAAACTAAAATATTTTAATAAACTGCCCTTTCATTGGCCGAGAGTTTTTATTTGTACTACTCAACCAATGGCTGCTTAGTTAAGATATTGTAGCTCCAGATTTCGTAACTAAGGCCCCTGTTACTGAAACCTTGGAATTATTTATCGTTTGAGATTTTATTTACACCAGAAAATATTTTTATTTATTATTATTTACATATGAATAACTTAAACTGTTTTATATATCAGTGAAGTGCATATTGAGGTCATAAGAGCATTGCAAAATTCACGTTGATCAAAAGTGTTGATTTTGATGCTCTGACGTGGCCATGGTCGACCCGTGAACCAAGAAATGAAATGAAATGGGTTTAACGTCCTACTGTGCTGCTGCGACAAAGCTTAAGCTATGAAGGAAATTTTGCCCGGACAGCTGCGCTACGGCCTACTCTTATATCGAATTTCAACTTCAAGGGATCTTAAACCCCATTCCATTCATCAGATATGTTACAGAATCCAGTCCTGTTCTTGTAATGTATGTGTAGTTATGTTACAGAATCCGTTCTAGTTCTTGTAATGTATGTGTAGTTATGTTACAGAATCCAGTCCTGTTCTTGTAATGTATGTGTAGATATGTTACAGAATCCAGTCCTGTTCTTGTAATGTATGTGTAGTTATGTTACAGAATCCAGTCCTGTTCTTGTAATGTATGTGTAGATATGTTACAGAATCCAGTCCTGTTCTTGTAATGTATGTGTAGTTATGTTACAGAATCCAGTCCTGTTCTTGTAATGTATGTGTAGTTATGTTACAGAATCCAGTCTTGTTCTTGTAATGTATGTGTAGTTATGTTACAGAATCCAGTCCTGTTCTTGTAATGTATGTGTAGTTATGTTACAGAATCCAGTCCTGTTCTTGTAATGTATGTGTAGTTATGTTACATAATCCAGTCCTGTTCTTGTAATGTATGTGTAGTTATGTTACAGAATCCAGTCCTGTTCTTGTAATGTATGTGTAGTTATGTTACAGAATCAGGTCGTGTTCTTGTAATGTATGTGAAGTTATGTTACAGAATCAGGTCCTGTTCTAGTAACGTTTTAGTATTTTTATTTGTTCACCCAGGACTATGTCCTGTTCTAGTAATGTATTTGTAGTTATGTTATTGAATTAGAATGAAGTCCTGTGGTGAAGTTATATTATTGAGTTAGAATATTTGTTATACAACTTAACAGTCTCCTTGTACAAAATATATTTTATAAAAAAAACATTAACTAAAACTTCCAGACTTTAAATTTAAACTAATCAATATCTTTTAGCATTAAATGAGCTAAATCTCAATTCTTTGGCACCCAGAAATGGACACAAATGCGTCGCAACGCATATAATATTGATATATGAATGTATATGAATTGATTTACATTCAATCGTTGCTGTTTTTACTGTAATTTCTAATCAGTTATGTTTGGCGAAATGCGCAAAGAGTCTAAATTGAATAGTTTCTGGTTATTTTAATCTATGCCAGTACTATTCTGCTGTGGGATATGCTTAGCCTCGTTCATCGAGTCGGTTCATTACAAATGGCACTCGAAAGCATTCTGCCACGCGATTCGTGTGCCAATTTTAAAAATTTCATAGTGTCTTAAATATTGGATATCAGAAGCCCATGTAAGGTAATGACATCAATGTTGATTTAAATTGACCAATAAGTCGTGTTTGCAATGTTGAAGATTGTGGATGATATTGAGGTAGAGACTTGCCTCCTTTAATTAAATCATCAAATGAGGACTGTTCATGCTTTCTGTAGCCCACTGTAAATTAGAACTTTGCTTACTAAAGTTACTTTTTCATGAAATCCGTGTTCCTCCATTGTTTATTAGATATTTCCCCATGGGGCAGTGAACTTGCCTTTTCTTTATTTTTCCCCAATTCGTCCATTATTTCCTTGGATTCATAGTTAAGAATTTTGTCTAATGGGTGGCATCCATTGGACATTAAAATTAATACTCTTTATTCAGGCTTCAAATTCACACCCATAATACTTTTGTCGCTGGTGGGGGGGTTGGATGGCTGAATGGTTAGCGTGCGCGCGCTGTATCATAAAATCTGTCATTGAGTCGACTGGCGTGGTTTCGAATCCCTGGTTGTATGTGACAAGGAGTAGGATCGCCTGTCCAACCTCGTGGGTTTTCTCCAGATCGTCCGGTTTCCTCCCACTGCTAAAGACCCCTACTCGGAAGCGAATTATTGAAATAAAATTAAACCATATGTTAGTCCCGAAATGACCTAGTTTGTGTCGAGTGGACGTTAAACCCCATTTCTCTCTCTCTCTTGACGCAGGTGTGAAACTAAAATTCTCTGTTTAAAAAATAATATAGTATTTATTCAGTGGCTATTTAGTGGGTCACGGGGAAGGAAAATATATGGAAAATAAATTTCCCACCTACATTTTGATAACTTGACCAGTGAGTATAGGTCTTCATAGTCTACATGTCGTTCCCCCAATCGACCTCACATAACCTCACACTTCACTCTGCATAATCGTGCAACCTCCCAGTAATTCAAATCATTGCTACGTCACTGGATTTAATAATGAATACGGTACAATAGGATGTCATTTACTCCCTAATAATAAAAGCAAAGATCAGTTGATTTGTTTGTTTTGCGATAATTACTTCCGGTGTTGGTTTCATTTTTCCTATTACTGATTAGGATTTAGCAATTGCTTAGCCTATCAGTGCTTAACCTATCGGTGCTAGTGGTTCTGAAAGTGTAAAAACTTGTCAACCCGTTTAGAAGGTACGAGTTACTGTTACTGTAGAATTGGAGACACTGGTTAACACCGAGAGGTTTCCAACCCAATGACAAGTCATCAATATATTGTTTACTTTATTTACTGAAAGATAATTTACACGAAACTGGAATTTCATCTTTTTTTTTTTTTTTTTTTTAAAATGATTATTATTCTAATGAAATCTGTTATATTATGTTTTGTTCTTTGTCAGATGTTTATTATGTTGTATTTTAAAATAAAGTATCTGTCAAATTGAAAAACCGATTCGTTTTTACCTATCCGGTCCCAAAAGACGAACTGAGAAATTATCCTGCACTTGACGTACATTTAAAAGTCTAATATTATTATAAGGTCCGTTTCCCTGTACGCATTTTCGCGGTGTTTCTATGTGCCTTTTCGTCAGTTACGTGGAAACATTCCCATTTAATTTGCATTAGACCGACTTTTTCGCCGAAAAAAAAGCGTACATGGCAAACAGGCCCAAGAGATATAAACGATGCAGTGGCCTGGCTAGCACATTTAACTTTCATTAATTAACAGAAAACATGTCAGTGGTCAGCCATTTCCTTTTAAACATTTTAGCTACTGTCTTAAACCTGAAATCGGTTCAACCTTCTTTCAAATATTGCCAGGTTCCCACTTATCAGGGGTAGTCGTTTGGATAAGATGGGACTTTTCGTCCAGCCCCACCCGTGTAGGCGAAAACATATCGATGTCAGGCCAAATTCTAGCATTGTAGACGTGGCCATAGGAAAAATATCCCGTACGTTATCCCCTATTTGTTCAAATATAAATAGTATACCGCAAAACATTCTTCAAGAAATCCACCCATTGGGAAACGCAATCTATTATCGAAGGCCAACGTAGTTCGTCATAATTTTTGCAATTTTTGTGACGTCACGTGATTATAGAAAAATATATCCTGTATGTTAGCATTAGATCTTATCATTACGACACGTTAACCTCTATTCTTTTAAACAGTATACCGGTACCCCAAAACATCCCATCGCGAAACGTAATCTATTTCCAAGACCAACCGTTTCTGTGCACTCATGTTCAACAAAGTGACTTATGACAGGAATAACTGCAGTATTGTGTTCACGAGACATAAACAATATATTTATGTAATTAATTTAAAACAAGATATGTTAAAGATTTTATTTACAAAAAATATATTACTATTTTATATACAAATTTAACAAATAATAAAAATATATATTCATAATATCATGTGTCACGTTAATGAGATGGGACTTTTATAATATTTTAGTTTGTAAGGAATGTAAAAGAATAGCGTATGCGTCACGTTGATGAGATGGGGCTTTCGTAATATTGTTGTAAGGGATGTAAAGGAGTGGTCTATGTGTTACGATGATGAGATGGGACTTTCGTAATATTGTAGTAAGGGATTTAAAGGAGTGGTGTATGCGTCACGTTGATGAGATGGGTTTTTCGTAATATTGTAGTAAGGAATGTTAAGCACATGCATATGTTAACTGGTTAGGGTCAAGGTTAGCTTAGGTTAAAATACCGACATAACTATATGAAACTGTGTATTACTCGAATAAACCACATTTGAATATATTGGCATCATTAAAACGAATAAACCACAGTAAAATACATTGGCGTCATTCACAGGAAACGACCAAAGTTAACCTGGCGTCATTAATACGAAACAACTGAAGTTACACTGGCGTTATACACAAAATAACCACATGTAACTATACTGGCGCCATTAACACGAAACAACCACTATTAACTATACTGGCGCCATTAACACGAAACAACCACAGCCATTAACACGAAACAACCAAAGTTAGCCTGGCGGCATTAACAAGAAAAACCAATGTTACACTGGCACCATTAATACAAAACAACCAATATTAAACAGGTGTCATTAACACGTGACAACCAAAGTTACACTGGCGTTATTAGCGCAACCACAGTTTAGTAACCCGACGTCATCAAATCACGTGTGTTTCTAGATAGCAACATGGCTGACAGGAAGTGATTAGATTGAGGTGATGACGACATGGTAGAAAATGAAGTTTGACTGTTAACAGGAGTACTACAATACACAGGATAGGGTGAATGGCTGCCATTATAAAAATTATTAGATTCCAATCTCTGTCTTTTAAAACTTCTCTCTGTTATTTTACTGATACTGAAATCTGAGGGTGATCGAGATGACGTAAAACCTGACTGAGTCTGTGACGTTACATCGGATGACAATTGTGATGACATAAAACTTGACGAAGATTGTGACGTTTTGCTGTATGAACCTGTGTGACCCTCATCTGGCGATATTCTGACGTCACCACGACATTTCAAACATAATCCATCAGAGGTAGCGGCCATCTTGTTACATCTGGTACAGACTGGAGAGGAATCTTCTGAAATAAAATAAAACAAAAGGTTTGAATTAGACAAATATAGAACAACAAAGATCAATTTAAAACGCCATTTCGCGCAAACGCTAGTTCTGTTTGGTATTTGTCATATCCGTTGCCACGGTGGTTTCCCCTTGTCAGTGATGCAGGATGGAGGGCCTGACAAGGACAGCTGCCTAGTCGTTCGGATGGGACGAAAAACCGAGGTCCCGTGTACACATTGGCGTGCACGTAAAAGATCCCTTGGCAGTTGGAATTCGATATAAGAGTAGGCCGTAGCGCCGCTGCCCGGGCAAAATTTCCCTCATAGCACACTGTATGGCGTATGCCCGTCTTCATTAGCCCAGGTTAGGAGCAGAACAGTAGGACGTTAAACCCCATTTCATTTCATTTCCGTTGCCACGGGTCGTGTATGTACCTAAAAGTGAGATATGGACTTGGTTCAAAGTCCTGTGCATGGCCACTCAACCCCAGATCCTCCATCTCGGCCCATAATTGCGAGCCATAAGACCATTGCTCTCAAACCAGATGTTCAGAGAGAGAGAGAGGGAGAGAGAGAGAGTTTAACGTTCACTCGACACCAACTAGGTCATTACGGGACTAACATATGGTTCAATTTTATTTCAATAAATCGCATGCGCGTAGGGACTTTAGCAGTGGGCGGAAGCCGGAGGACCCGGAGAAAACCCACGAGGTTGGAAGGCAACCCTACTCCTTGCCATGTACAACCTTGTGATGCAGCGCGCACATGCTAACCATTCGGCCATACCCACTACCGTCTCCAGATTTTCAGACTTGAAATGGTCTGTAAAGAAATATACATACCATCGTGTATTTTCATGTGAGTTTTGAGATTACATGCCAGAGAGAATCTCTTATTACAGGTCAAACATTGATGTGGTCTGTCACCTAAAAATAGACATACATTTTAATGTAATAAACATTTATAACCGAAAATTATTTATGGCCAAAAATATAATGTTTTGTTAAAGCGAAATGAAATGGGTTTAACGTCCTACGTTTCTTCAAATACTATCTGGAAAATGTTGCCCAGACAGCGGCAGTGCGTCCTAGGGTTCTTTTGAGTGCATGCCAACATGTACACGGGACCTCTATTTTTCGTCTCACCTGAAAGACTAGACACTGTCCTGCACCCACTGACGAGGGGAAACCACGCTGGAAAATTTCGGGAAACACTATTCCTTGTCACGTACAACCGGGAAATCGAAACCACGCCAGTTGACTCAATGACAGACCTTATGATACAACGCGCAAGCGCTAATCATTCGGTCATCCCCCATCTGCTCCTTTGTACTGAGATTATAGGCAAGACCGGCACAAAAACCAACGCCTTGTCGCAAATATATTCCACTTAACTGAGATAACCTAAATATATTATCAACAAACCTGAATGAAGAACGAGATGATTTTTCAAGCTGGTTTGTTTACTGAAACCTCGATTACAAATCTGACATTTGAAAGGCCAGGATCCATTATGAACATACATGTGACTTTTTAAATCTCCAGGAGTAGGGAAGGATTTAGAACACTCCGTACATTTATGTGGCTTATCCTGGAAAATAAAATTTGTAAAATCAGATTTGAACAGAGTTAAACTGATTTCTTTTTTTCGAGTTAATCGATAAACTGATTAGTATACTCGATCAATTGATTAGAATTATCGATAAATTGATTAGAATTATCGATTAATTGATTAGAATTATCGATTAATTGATTAGAATCTACAAATAAATCTAAAAATAAACAACGAATTAAGGAAACGTTTGAACATTAAATATCTTTTACATTTTCTTAGTATAAATATAATATCCAAAAATTTCATTATGAATTTTCAAAATGATGGAACGTTAAAAAGCTTCAACATTACAAACAATATTAATGTCAATAGAAATGAAATGGGGTTTAACGTCCTACTGTTCGGCTCCAACTAGGCTAATGAAGAAGGGCATACGCCATACAGTGTGCTATGAGGGAAATTTTGCCCAGACAGCGGCGCTACGGCCTACTCTTATATCGTGTTCCAACTGCTAAGGGATCTTTTACGTGCACGCCGATGTGTACACGGGACTTCGTTTTTTGTACCATCCGAACGACTAGACAGCTGTCCTTGTCAGGCCCTCCATCTTGCACCACTGACAGATGGAAGCCACGCCATAAATCCAGATGAACTTTCTCGGCCAACACTGGGATCAAACTCGCGACCTGCAGGATAGCAGGCCAGCGTCTTACTCATTTAGCCACCGTGGCTCCTAATGTCGTGGCTCCTAATGTCGTAGAACTTTACGAAATACTATTCATTAATAAAAGAGAACATTATTGTATTTACCTTGTTGTGTGTCATACCTAATTATTAATAAAGTAATTATTAAAAAAACGAGAAGAGTATTCATTTACCTTGTTGTGTGTCATACCTAATTATTAATAAAGTAATTATTAAAAAAACGAGAAGAGTATTCATTTACCTTGTTGTGTGTCATACCTAATTATTAATAAAGTAATTATTAAAAAAACGAGAAGAGTATTCATTTACCTTGTTGTGTGTCATACGATGATAATACAGATTAGAACTAGCTGTAAACTTTTTACCACAAATATTACAAATATGTGGTTTTTCTCCAGAATGGATACGACGATGAGTGTTGAGGGAACTGGATGTCGAGAATGCTTTATTACACGTTTCACAAACATGTGGTTTTTCTCCTGGAAACAGAAAAAAATCACAAATGTCAATTAAAATATGGTAAATTACAAAATTCGCCTCTTTTTATAATTCTATCTGTATCTGAAGAAATAAATCAGAAACGTAAATTAATACCGCTGTAGTAAAAACTTCAAACAACCCAATCTAATTAAAACAGAGATCCTATTTCGTTTCGTTTTTTATAGTTTAAAATTTCGTTTTACTTGTCTTTACTACACTAGAATCTGGAAGAGTTGCTATATAACCGACGTTCTGGTTGCAGTGAGGGATTAGCCAATGAAACGGTCTTTTACGGTGAGTTCTTGGCGTGCGATGCACGGAACTGTGGGTAAACCACTAGAAACGTCAACGCTGATTGATTAACCAATGTCTGACGTCATAGGGTCAAAAGCCGCAGGTGCTACCCCTGACACGACCTTCCATTACAACCGATCAGATCTTCATGTAGGGTAGGCCGTCGAAATTATAAAAAACGAAAAGAAGCGAAATATAGATCTGTATTTTGGTCAGATAGCTCGCAAGCCTTCCTTTGTATACCTCCAACATGATGTAATTGGTGGTGTTTGTATCGCACGAATTATATCACAAAATGTCATTAATTAAAATGGAAGAATATTCATGGAAAAGAAAAAGATGCACTTTATGGAGGCAAGGCGTTAGTCAGAAAATAAAATAATCCAATAACGCTAGGGAAATAAACGACTACTCATAGAAAAGAATAGAAGTAGGAAGCCAGTCTAACAATAACTAAAGGCATGGATGAAGTCTGACAATAAAACTATGGACCGTATATAAATATACACAGTCCATGATAAAACTAAAGTGTAACCTGATCACACTGATTGTTACTAATCTGAGTTAATCTGGTTTAATTTATCACCTGTTGATTATAAAACAAGAGATGGATTGTTGAAGACCAGATTGCAATTAGCTTGAGGTAAAACTAATTAATTCTTTTACAAATTGATTCTGTTAATTTTAACACGACTTGCTATTATACAGATTAACGGAATTAATAACGACTACTGATTTGTTTTGATGAGAGAAGTCCAAGATGTAAAAATCAGAGATTTGATCAAAGACAGGTGAGATATTACACAGTTACAGTGGACAGGTAAAACTGCTGCTTTAGGGGGAAGACTATTATATCAGACGAAAGTATATATATGAATTTAAAGAAACGGTGTACAGAGCTTCTAAGTAATTTTTAATCTTTAAAACATTAGGATACGTCACGAAAGCTAGATGACAAAGCTTTCAAACGTTGTTTAGAACTTATTGGGAATTTGTAATCTCCCCAAAGTTTTTAAACATTTGTGACTCTGTGAAATTGTTATCATCTAGATGCCTAGTATTTTTTCATCGTTACCCGTTACGACTATTTATAGTATATTTTATTACCTGTATGAGTTCTCATATGACGTTTTAATAAAGATGGACGATCAAACTTCTTCTTACATACGTCACATGGCAACCATGTTCTCTCACGTGATCTTTTGGCGGGAATAGTTTTATATTCTGTTATTGGAGAAGGTTCCCTGGTTGATGGAGAATCCTGAATTTAAATCAAATATTAAATTATAACAATTGTATTTAGTGGCGAATATCATGTAGGCCTACCATCATATAGGACGATCAAATACGAAATTAACGAAATCTCTCAATACAAATGTAGATCTAATACGTTGTCTTCAATTTTCTTCATATTCCACATATGTTTTGTGTGAACATTCTATGGTGATTTTTAACAAATTGAAGCTGGATTCGAATAATCCAAAATTCTTAATGCTCAATTGCACAATAAAATGAATCGGAAACCTAAGATATTATAGTTGCTAATCATACTCACAGAAAAATTCCCAGAATCATCAGAACCGGAAGTGATACCATTCCGAGATATACTGGTTGCTATGGGTAATATGGGAGATGGATAATCTGTGCTTGTAGAAACCAGTTCTGAAGGAGAAATCAAAAATACAAATAAACGTGAAAATAAATACAAAGAATTAGATATGAATATGGATAAGTGAATTTATTAAAGTATTAATTCTTGTTATTAGCTCTATACTGACTTCGTTAACCCGGTTGGTGTAGAGAAGTAGGACGTTAAACCCCAGTTCATTCATTTATAAGCTATAAAATCTTACCCGGTGTTTTTCTCTCCTTTTCTAAAACATGCTGATGAACTTTTTCCTCTTCAACCAGACGTTCATCTTTTAATGTTTGAAAATACACAACAATTTCTTCATTTGGTTGAACATCTTTTATCAACTGGAAAACTATTTCTCCCTTTAATTTGATACCAATAACATTAACCTCTTCCAGTTTACTCGATGATTTTATAAACCGGATCCAGTTACAATGACGTACTTCACGATTATCTACTGTCAATATTTCATCATAACAACCAAACTGATGACGTATCTGTAATTGATGGAAAGAAAGTGAACATTACTATTTATGCTTAGTAGTAGGTTTTATTACATGAGCGCGGGAATTTATCAGGACAGCCAGACTCAAGGATTCATCATAAATACATCCTGTCATGCAGACATTTTAATATTAATATATAAATCAAGTCAGCACGTGGGAGGAGTTGTTACATAATTGATTGTGATCATGATCGACACGTGCACGTAATGAAATTGATCGTTATATATTGATTATCACAGGCACGTGCCATCACTTAGGTGCACCATTCCATAAAAAAACGGCTGTAACAGAATTTAGTATACAAAGTTTATTTCCCATCGCTTATTTTGTCTACTAGGTCTACTCGGCCAGAATAGTTTACTTGTTGTAACTTATTTGATGTTTATATTGTGAACACATTTTCAAATATGTTTAACTAGAATATATTCTATGTTACCAAATTATTTGTGTTTTAATACTGTGAAGATTTTTAATTAATGTATACATAATTATCCAATATAAAATGATATAAGTCATTTGATGTGAATCAACCTTTTCATAGGAAAATTCATCTAGATTTGGTCTCAAAGGTTTTCCTAATACACTTTTATCGTTGGACGATTACCGACGTTTCCCTATTTAATCACAAGATCTACATTTTCTTGATTAAATCAAAAGATGTATTAGAATAATTGATTTGACTGTAGACATGTTCCCAGGATAGACGACTGTTTCTCCTGTTAAAGATGTGTTAAAATTATATAAACAGATTAAAGATTAAGATTAAGGTGAAGAAGATGTCTTCAGGCTAATCTTAGTATCAAGTGATGGTGTCATATAATTTCTATACAAGTGTTAAAGAGATTTTGTTTTTGATTTTGTAAGCTCGTAATGACAAGAGGTTTCAGGGTCATGCTGTGTGCCAATTGTAAAAGAGATATCATGATTTAAAAGGGAATTGTCTCTTGGTCTATATCCGGTATTATACTTGGTAATCCCATGATTAACAGGGATTATAACTGAGAAACCCCCATCTGAATCAGGATAATCCGCTCCTTTACTGTAACAGATATTGACATGTCACTATCTAGACTTTTGTACCGAATGTGTACAGAATTTGTATCACTTAGTAAGTTTAATTTTATGAGTTTAGTAGGTGTAATTGCATATGTTTATGCATGTATCAAATATAACAAGTTTAATTGCATGAGTATATATTAAATATAACACGTTTAACTGCATGGGTATATATATCAAATATAACACGTTTAATTGCATGGGTATATTATATCAAATATAACACGTTTAACTGCATGGGTATATATCAAATATAACACGTTTAATTGCATGGGTATATTATATCAAATATAACACGTTTAATTACATGGGTATATTATATCAAATATAATTGTCCAGTTTTATTACTTT